TAGGGTTATAAGCACGCCAGAATATCCCTACTGTGCAAAAAGTTGGAGTACTGTACAAAAGTGAAACTAAAAAAGGTTGTCATACTTTTCCGAAGAGGCATACGCTTTGGAACGCATGCTGACGCTTTTCTCTTCAGCAATCCAATGCATGAAGTCGGCATGAAGCATTTTCGTGTCGGTATAGGCGGCTACCGATATCGCTAACCATGCCATGTACGCTAATAGGAATCCTGCCGCAACGTAGACATTCCTGAAAGACCCATGATTATTTCAAAGGGTCCCAAAAGCTCGTGATAACTTATACGAATCTTTTGCCAAATCTTTTCGTAATGATTCATAAATTCAGTCACAGAACAGGAGGCGTGTTACTTGAGCACACCGGTCATCGATCGTAGCCACTGTGACCGTATCAGCCCTGAGTTACAACCTGGTATTGTCTCCCAATTTACGGCAACGAAATGGAACGATTGCCCTGGCTCCAGTGACTTGGGGTGGAGGGCCATCTGTCATGGATATGGACCTGCTTTGACTGAACCAACTCATACGGATTATGGCTCTTCCAAGAGACACAAATGATTTAAATGCTCACTCTCCAGAAAAAATATAGAAGTTTGATCAGAAGACTGCCCATGAGGGTTGATTGTCAAGGGAGGACGCCTGTGTGGTACCTACTGCCTAAACTTCTCTTCCGCTGTAGTCATACGGACTGGTCGGACAACGTTCTAACTGGAGATGGAAGAGGGGTCTATAGTTGAACCACCGTGGTGAGCGCTAGTGGCCAATGAAATGGAGGGATCAGAATCAGGTATTGAATTTGTTTAATCTAGGCAATGCCGTGCATGTGGTAAGACTTTTGCGAAGCTTACCGCACGGAAATTCTGGCTCTCCACACAATGATCACCAGCAACAGGGAGACCTGATGTAACTAACAGCCCAGAGAGGTGTGGCAAAACTTTCAAAATTCCCATCTAGCCATCCTGTTCTCAGTGCGCGTTTCTGGAAGTTATAGCGGCTGGTAACCTCGCAGAATATTTTGGCCACTTTTTGAATCCATTTCCGCACCACTAGGTCGACTGGAAGGTTCTTTCATTATTGTTGTGATTGAGGTTTCATGCCGTAGGAAAAGGTATAAGTATCAAACATATTCATTACTGCGGGATGCTTGCCAGCAATGAGGAGCTATGTTTGCCGTCATTCGAAAAAGAGAGCTAGCACAATGCCAAGCTGTATGTCATCTCTTCACTCCAGATATCGCAGCTGCTTCGCGTAGGGATTGACCGTGAGAGGAGCTCCTTCATCCTTGTTCATTTCACAGAGCCTCAGCTCCCTCAATCAGAGCTCAGATGAACATTCAGATACGTCGCCTCGCAACTGTATCCCCACTCTTTGCAGCGTTGATGTCGGTTACCATTACTGGTTAGCAGCGGGCATGGTCCTTATACGCATGCTTGGTTTTGACCTTGGCAGCTCCCCGTTTCCATGCAGTTTTGATCAAAGGAGAAGGCAAGCTACTGCAGCTGCAGGACCTCTTCCACACAAGGCAAGGAGTAGGACCACGGAGGTGAGCGCACAGTATGTCTTTGAAATCATCTGCGCACGTCACGACGTTGCTCCTCTTTTCCCGACTTTGCATTGAAGGCAGAGTCCTGCTTGAGCCGATACAACTGGTCACTGCATAACTCACACTGAATAACAACCATGTTTCTTCATGAGATCGATATAAACAGAAATAGAAAATAAAATAAAATGAAACCAGATGTAGAAAAACAAAATTATAGCTCATGCACACATTGGCATTGTATTTGTCACACTGACTGCCCTAATGCCTAGGGGTACCCGGTAGACCTGCCCAAAAGATGTCTTTTTTAACAGAGGAAAGGAGGTTTGCAAACAGATTCGGAGGTTTCGCTCAAATTTACTTCACTGGTCAGTTTTCAACAGAATACTCGTAAACCGACACACAAGGTTAGAGGTTTATGAATTTGGGAGAACACTGAGATTACATACACGATCCGAAAATGCGACTGCGGGGAAAGTAGCGGAGAAGACAACATGCTTCTCAGTCGTTTAGTATATGTATTGGTGGAACTTCTATTCTTACCTCAATTGCGTTCTCATGAAATCTTTTTCTTCCGTAGATCCATCTGAATTCAACTGTAGATATATCAGCAGAGAGAAGCACTCGAAAAGCAGAAGCATAAACTAAAACGCAGTAATTGCCTACAAAACAAGTCTGGTAACTTTTAATTCCAGAATATGTGGAAATTGAAATGTTGCACTGTTTTTGCGGGGTCACCCTTAGTCCTATCTCGTCCCTAAATTCGCACACCGCACCGTGCTTGATCTGGGCAAATGGCCCGAAAATTCGGCTCGAGCAGAGCCTCTTTGGGTACCACCTAATTCACCTACATTTCAGGATTTCGGTAGTTTTGTTGCTGCTGGACTAACACCAGGCTTACCGTGTTTTTAAGTGCAAACCATTCTTCGAGCCCATACTTTTCCTAATGAAGGAGTGTAGCCCGAACGAAACTGTCCCAGAGGCAGTTTATAACATCGCGATGTGCCCCCCCCCAATGTCCTTTCCGAGTACGACGCCTTATCGCACCACCTCCGTCCCATCACACTTCCGACTCCTTGCCCCCTTTAACGAAAACTTCACCAATTTTTCTCAAAAAAATTGCATCCTCGCAGGGAAGTGTGGAGTTTATACATGGCGCGTGTGAAACTTGGGGAAAACTAGCCACCGGAAAGTTTCGGCCGTTCACGCAGCAATGCTGTACCCTAGGTGGGCGGCAAGTTTGACTTGGACGGGATTCGAACGCAGATGTGATCTGTGTCAGTGCTCTACCTCAGGTTCCTAAAACTGTCTTGAAATGCGTACCAATATGTTTTCTTCAACACAAGTGACAAATGAAGATCTATAACAGTAAACACTTACAAAGCTCAAAGCTGCATCAACTAGAAATGGTCGAAAGAATGCAGGTCGGCAAGAGTAATGACCATAGAGGCAGAGGCTAGTCGCAATCAGATGTAGCAAAGTGAAAAGGAGCACTGAAATAATTAACACATATAGCTGCGAAATCCATGACATTAGACACGAGCTTTTCGAGGGATTTTAGAGTAAATCTACAGTGTTTTTTAGTTCTCTAATATGGGGAAACACTGTAATCGCTATGAGCCCTTCACCAATTATACCGCCTATAATCTTTAGTCAGTCGACGGTCTACAGCAGGTCTTCCCTGCGAACCGTCGTTTTGCTATAACTTCTGGAAAAAAGGTCGAAATTTTTTGGAAATCAGAAAAATGGATAGCGCGCACCATGACAAGTTTAACGGACTATGAATCCTTTATTTCTTTTAATACTTCAGGCTCATTTTTGGGAAATTCTTGGATTGACTCTCTAATTACCTGAGATGATTCCTGGGGAAAGGAGCCCTTACTGCCACCCAGGATCGCAGCCTCAGTCCCACAGCGATGGATCGCGAGCAAATTGTTCTGACGAGATCTAAGGGTTTCGACAGTCTTAAAGTCACAGAATAGCGGTAGAGCTCTAGAATAGACTGTCAGTTTTCGAAAATCCTCTCAGTAAACGTTTTCGTGTTTGATGTTGGTCTGGGTGCGCGATGTACTCGTCGAAAAAGGAAGTCATTCTGAATGAAATTTGTATTAGTCTCACTCGTATGTAAGCGCCATATTGCGACAGCTTCACGTCAACAGCTAATCCAAAAGATTATAGGGTGGGATTATAGGATGGATTAACCTGATCATCACTTGACATCCGATGGGAGGGTTCTTGTATTTCCATCAGCTAAAGTAGGCGTGAAAAATGGCGTGATAAGTTCTAACAATAGGTTGCACTTTTGGGACCACGCTTTCGCTGTTATCACACGCACTCCACATCCCAACGATGGAGAGGCGTGGCTGCGCACCTCACTTAAAGGCAATTCCCGCGACCACACTTCATAGGTGATACAGTTCAAAAAAAGAATTGCCGTGTGCTTGTTGACTTACTCAAGAAGAGGGAAGCTCGAAAACCGCCCGCAATAAGACCCTCTTTATTGCTATTGTCGTGATCACCGGACGAGCATAAGATGATCAAGATCAATTGTGGTCTGCAAAAGGCGACGATACAGTGACTGGAGAGGAGAGGGACCAGAAAACGGCCGGTGAGAGAGCACAGTGGCATCTTCACTATGACACGTTCGACGCAGGCCGGCATGGGCCTATTGGGTGCCAATGGGCCTAAAATCGATGCGTTTTGCTTTCTGGTTGCTAGTTTTCGACTTTTTTGTACAGTACAGCCTCTGCGGGTGCCTACCTGTTCACCCTGCACAATCCAGAGGTTTTAGCCTTAATTTATCGCGAACCGTGCCTTTAAATAAGGGTAGGATGCGTTGTCCGTGGGTTTATTCTCAGTTAATAAAGTGTTGTCCTACTTGTAGTGGACAAAGTAATGTGCGCAAATGTTCTGAAATTGGAATATCTCTCCAAACGCTCAGGCGTCGCCATGTTTGAATGAAGTACGCAGCCACGGATTACCCACCTCTGGGCTATGGAGTGTACAGTCGTCATCCTTGCACTTGATAGTCAATGTCAGTGCGGCTGCGTGCGGCGCGGTCGTCAGCACCCGTACTGCACCAATCGTTGAACCAGAGAGTGACATTACTGTATTATATCCTTCGTGTTACTCGTTTTCTATCACTTTTTGTCGCATACGCGTTTCAACGAAAAGGCTGAGAAGGCTTCAAACAGTGTGCACGCTCCTTCTCGCCGACACGCCCCTATCAAGTGCAAGGATGACGACTGTATTCAAGGTTCTCATGATTCAGCAAGGCCTCGAGGTACAAAGTAGGAACAAATTTCCGACTTCATCGGCGGAAATCATGCCAAGGAAAGATCGGTGAGTTGTCCACAGTGTATGAGAAATCCACCTGACATATAGACGACTAGACGAAGCTTTGAGGCGAGATTGTTATCGATGAAATAGGTGCAGATGATTTCCAGGAATCGCGATCGTATCTTCTCGGGTAGGTTATGGGAGAAAGAGGATTCCAGTTCGGAAACGACTGAAAATATCCAATATTAAATGGCTAGACGCTCCTGCATGAGGTAAAATTTCACTTTATACAGATACAAAAAAGAAAGTAAAATTTGAAAATACAAAAATGTTTCGCTTTACCTTTGTAGAGCATGCACGGATTGATGAACGTGAAAAGAACAGCGAAAAATGCGGAGAGAATTCGCATAATCAGTTGAAGCACATCTTAAACAACGAAAATGAACTTGCGACTGCGAGACTTCTGTTAGACGGAAGCCTTGCATTCGGATTAATAGCGGAATTCAACAAATCGAACGGACCAACAGAAAAACGGAGAGGAAGTGTTGTTTGGAAAAAAACGGTGCTAATATTTGGGCTGGGAAGTGAGGTGGTCAATTGGACTGCTTGTGAAGAAAGGACTAGATGTATGAGACTGGAGTAAGCTTGACAAGATTGGGATTAGAAATCGACTACCTATCCTAGAACTCCCCCCTCCCAGTTCAAGCTTAGGCAAAAGCCTTCGTTTTGTTACGGTAGTTCCCGTTTCGCACGGTGAGCTCTTAATAACCTTTAAGATTATTAGCGCCGCGGTTTGGCATCATGAAGTCTGCCGGAGAGATTGGATCCAAGGACCTCTACGAGTGGGGCAAAAAGGGAGAGATAGCTCCACGCCCATGAGAGTAGCTTCGGATTTAGCCATATAATGTGCTTATAATGACGCTTATATCCTCCTATGTTTGTTTAGGGAAGTGCAGTGGGCGAGGCCATCAGACATCACACCCACGATAAAGGATTGGCACGTGTTAAGGAATTAGAAGCACTGCCGTTCAAAAACATGATAGCTCTGAGAGGATGGAAGTTAGAATCATCAATTACTGCTAGATGTTTACACCTCACACTCACCTCAAAAAATGACCAGTATCAGCCGGTGATATTGAGATGAATTATTCAAAAATGACAGAAAATTAGAAAAATTCCCAATTAAGGAACGTTGCTCAAGGTTGTGTGTCTCAACGTTACTGCTGTGGGTCTGCGATCGAGAATAGCATACACAGCAATAAAAGGATCAAACTAAGCAAGTGTACGTGGTAATAGTGAGGCAAGAAACTCTGTTCAATAACGAAGTAGCGTATGCTGGGGCGATGGTAGTCACAAGAGAAGAGAGAGAGAGAGAGAGAGAGAGAGAGAGAGAGAGAGAGAGAGAGAGAGAGAGAGAGAGAGAGAGAGAACCCGATGAATGATCGGTGCTGAGGAAGTTCGAGATATGCTGGAAATCGAGCTATATGGCGAAGCTATATACACTCCATACCATGGAGATGGAGAGGGCGCCTGCGCACTCCCATTTCAACACAGGGAAGGATGCGCTTGTCGTGGCACTTCTAGATTTGAAATTGCTCAAATTTGGGTTGTAAGACCGAGGCATAATCCAACTGATCCAAAAGGACGGTTCTTCACCAAAAGCAAGCCGCCCTCTCAATACAGATTGTAAATGGCCTCCGTGTGACAAGTAATATTATTATTACATTATTACATTTCTATTATTATTATATCTCTGTTTTCTGGTCATGAGAGGGGATAGCGGCTCTAGCGCGAGAAGCGTGGTAAACAGGAGAGCGTCCAACGCCCTGATCAAATGGAATCCAATTAGGATAAGTATGGTTTCTCTGAGGCTAACACACTCTAACTCTGGGCGTATCAGTATTCAGGAGTCCTCAAATCGTAAAAATTCCGTAGCATGTATGTACAGGAGCGCCGGAGATGGCGTCCAAGTGTTGCAGCTCTGGAGTGCAAGTTTGAGCAGAGAAACGTGTCGCGCTTCTGCACTGACGGAGCCATTCATCTCAGACATGACCGTCCTCGGGGGCAAGTAAACAATTTTTTGAGATACACGCGGAGACGAACATTTCACAATGATTACGTCATCATGAAGGTTTCTGGGAATGAAGGCAAAGCTGTTGTGCGATAGTGAAGAAAGTACGGGAGCTGACGGGGTGGGACTAAGTCTAGGATTATGGAGGGCAGATGTTCATTGCGTTTGATGCGAAGGTAAGATAACTGTATGTAAGAAAAGCAGAAGCTCCTTGTCCCTTCGAGGGTTATTTGATTAAAAGCTTACCTGCTTGGAATAAGACAAAGCGGAGGGTTTTGGGTGTTCTCTTTAGTGTACTAAAACTCTCTAGTGTATACATATTCCCAGAAGTAATTTTACAGCTCTGAACTTAAGCAAGCTAGCGGCTTTATTTCCGTAACGTTCTAAAGGCACCCACTTCATGAATCCTCTATCATGAGGAACTCTCAGGCTATGCCACAGAAGCTATTGACCTAAGGCGGTGCGACCTCTGGTGGAATGGATAGCGCACGCTTGGAGTGAGGTAAGAGTTCGAGTTCCAGGGTTTTGCCCATAAGTCAGCATTCTTATGGGAGTTGCGTAGACAAGCTGTCGCCCACGAATGTGTTAGGGTGGAGAGATACTGAGGGCTGAGAAGTGGCATGTTAGGCAGGTTTCTGTATCGTACAGAATGAACCTCACTTGTTTACCTCTACCATGATATCAATGTTGTTTACCTTTTGTACATTCACTTCCTCCCAGCTAGGAGTATGGTTCAGTTGTTGTGACGCGGTTCGATGAGTAAACATCCTACGAAACCCTTGACCGGCAGAAGCAAGATGGAAGGAGTAGAGACAGCAGGGAATGAGATCACTCGTGACCGACCTCACATCTCACTCTGAAGCCGCATCATCGTGCAGATTATGTACATATTTACATAACATGTGATGATGGCAGAAAATGGCACATGGAAGTGGGCAGGAAGTCCGTCGTACCTATCATTTCAAATCGAGAGAAAATCTGTATCCACACGTATGTGAGCCTCATTCGTAATGCAGTGAGGGTTCGTAAACAGATCATGTGATCGACGATGAAGCCAAAATTCCATAGCTCTGAGTAGATGTCGGTCACCTGGTGATGGATCATCCCAGGCGAATCAGCCATTAGATAAGGCTGAATCAACATGTGATCCTTCTACGCTGCTTGACATACATAATTATACACTCAGCTGTGATTCTCTGGGAACATCGCAGCCAGGTAAGTTTTTGAAGAAGTCTTCATAGCCAAAGTGAGTTAGATATAGATGCGAGTTGACTCATCCGCATCAATTTTCATTTCAAAAGTAGAAAAACTTTTCATTCTAAATTTTTGGAGGACAGTCACTTGGACTGTTTGGCACATATCTTCCATTCCATTCAACAACGAAAGTACAACAGAAAAGCTAAGTTTGCATTTATCTGATACCAGTCGCCTCGCCGGCTGACGCCGACCGGCTCCGTCTCTGATAAGGCCGCGGCTGCGGCCGCGCGGGCGCGGCCGCGCGTATTTCTTTCACATATTTCTAGACTCAACTGATATCCGCCTTTTGTTCTGTACTCCACTTTTTCCGGTGTCTGAAGTACTCTTGAGCTATTTTACAGATTCTTCGTCTGACCCCGCCCACCTCAGAACGCAGACCCCGCCCCCAATTTTCGTGCCCCAACAATCCTCACCGACGACCCTCTGCTGACCTATTTCCCAACATTTTTTTTCGGTCGGGAGAGGCTCTGGAACCGTTTTACAGACCTTTTGTCTGGCTCCGCCCACCTCGGAGCAGGCTCCGCCCACAACGGTTTTTGCCCCACAATCCTCACCGGCGACCCTCTGCTGCGAGCCTTAGATGCCACGTTTTTTTTCCGGGCTTGAATTCTCCGGGACATTTCAGAGAAATTATTCGTCTGGCTGCCGCCCACCATCGTGGCTGGCCCCGCACAATATCTATACCACACATTTCTACATCGGCGACCCTCTGCGACCTCACTTTTCCCGTGCTTAGTGCTCCGAAACTACTTTTTAGGCAGATTTCTCGTCTGACTTCCGCTCAAACGGAGGCAGGCCCCGCTACCAGTGTTTTGTGCCCACTAGTCCTCACACTGGCGAACCCTTTACCAACCTCGATGCCACGTTTTCCGGTCTTTGCAATCTGGAAACCGAGCTACAAACTTTAAAATAATGAGTATACTCTGCGATCAGGGCAAGCCTCCGGCCACTGTGGGGTCAACACACTTGAGTGCGTCGCCCTACTCGCTGGATATCTACATTCACACTAGAGTTTCTTGCGACTTCCCGAATATCTCGCGAACCGGAGAATATCTCGCGAACCGGAGTAACTGAATTTTGCGAGAAGCCACCGGCCCCGCTTGAGTAAACGCCGCCGCCATTTAGGTGTACGCTCAGCCGCGCGTTAGTGGCGACTCCTTACTAACCTTAGTCCCTTTTTTCCCCATCTTAGCTGCTCCGGAAGCGAATTATGAACATTTTTCTGCGGAACCCCAAACTTTCGGCGAGTGCCCCGCCCACTGTGGGCGGGGCTTCCCATAGGTCAAGTGTGCTTTTTATTTCTTGTCCCATGCCCTACTCCCCACCTTGACTGGACCTCTCCAAGTCGTTCTTCAGGTCGAACCGAATTTCCGGACAGACAAACTTACAAACTTACAAACACAAACTTACAAACAAACAAACAAACAGACAAAGCGAATTATATATAAGATACATGGGGGTGATTCTATTTGGAGTGCCCATTTCTCGAATGACTTGGAAACATTCCCGAATTTTCCATGTCAAAATATAATATTACCAGTCGGATCGCCCGGCTAACGCCGAGCTCTCCTCCTTCTTGGAAGCCCGGCTTCGCCGGGCTCATGCAACTGCTTTAGAGCCTCACTTCTTAACTCGTGAAAGAAAGGAGCAAAGTAAGGCATAAGCAGGGCGATACTACTGTCTTAGGCATTTATGGTGCTCTCATGGTGACTAACCGGTGTCTTCTAATCAAATAAATGTAGGAACGCGCCATATAGTCGCAGGGCACTTTTATAATGAAAAGTTTAAAATCTGGTCATGGATAATCGATTACTGTCCTCCCATCTTATGACAGCCACGGATTCTTCGGTCTCCGCAGTCGCTGCGTGCTCCTGTTCAGGCGAGCGTCGGTCGCGCCAATATGGTACCCCTTCACTTATATCCCGCAAACTAACCTCAGATTCCCTCGCCTCCAGTCCACCCTACAGTACACTCAGCTTGCTACGCGAATAGCCCGTACATCGTTTCCTGAGTGCACTACCAATGGTTGTGTTATTTGTGGAGGTGCAGGACTATAATAAACGCTAAGCACAAATCTGAATAATGCAACATTAATCGGTTCAGATCCCATTGCGGTCGATCCATTTTCTTCCCATCTTGTCGCAACCGTAGACGCCTTACCGCCGCAGGGGCTATGTGCTCCTAATCGCGAAATCGCCGTTCTCATCTGGTATCCCCTCACCACATCATATCCCACTGACCCTATTTAACCGGCACCCACCCCGCACGTGGTATGCAGCCGCCATGCAACATAGGGACACTACTCCGCCACTAAAGGATTATCTGGTCGATTGCGTTCGAATCGAACTTGTGTACCCTTCAATGATTAATTTTGAAGTCACCTCGTTCTGGAGTCGATATTGGTGTGGATCCTTCGCACGGTAGAACCCCACACGTTTTCCACTGGATTTAGGTCAGAGCTTCTAGCCGGCGAGGACAGAGAGCGGCTTAGTGGCGGTCGAACCAGGCTTGAGTGGTACGGCTGACGTGAATGCTTTCTTTCGGAGCATTTTCTTGCATATAAACAAGGTTTTCGTGTCGATTCTGGCACAAAAGGTAGAAGACCCGGCGCATGATATGTCTATGTATTATCTAAGGAATCACATTCGTAGATAAAACACAGCTTCAAATTTCCTGCTAATGTGCTTGCAGCCCAGACCATGATCCCGATGGTCTTCTAGAGTTCTCCCTAGGGAAGTGGCCGTTTGGTCCGACGCTGTTGACAGAAAACGTAGGTTACAGAAGGAAAACACCGGCGAATGACAGACAAACTTCAGGGCACTGCAGGCAAAGAACCGGCCTTGCTCTAGTCGGCTCGACCACATATTCTGGCAGTCACTTGATTGTCACAAAGGATCTCTGTCACGGAGGATGCCTTCATCATTCTCCATCGAGTGGTGAGTTTGGGCGTCTTCTATGATACCAGCCAAACAGTCTTTGCGACACAGAGCTCCAAGAAGGTTCGATTTCTGGCGCGCTTTCCACGGGCACGATTAGAGCATGAAGTCTTGGAACGAATCTCGTCCAGGCCAACCAAGCCGTCTACACTCCAGCGAGGGTAAACTGGTACCCCTGGGGGATATGAACACTGACTCGTACATCGGCCGCCCCGCAAGTCATCGTATAGGCCAAATGTGCTACTAGGATTCTGAGTGGAAGGAGAATGCGTGTCGCATCCCAAAAAAGTGTGAATAAAGGCGAGCGCTTCATTCTTTATTCTTCATCTTGCAGAATCCTTGTTGACAACAGGATTCCTGGGACCCGAATTCGCGCTTTGACGGTTCGACAAGACCCGGTTTGTTCTGGCTACGATCTGGCCTTTATCGCAGTCTGGTAACGGTTCTCTGCAATCATCTAGGAGAAAGGAAATTGGTATGATTAAGCAGAAACGAGTAATAATAAGAAATAATAGTGGTGGAGTACAACTGTGCCAAAAAGTCCAAATGACTGTTTCCCAAAAAAATAAAGATGGAAATGTTGAATGATTTGGAAATCAAATTTAGCCCCTATGAGGAAACTTATATTTGTGCTAACTGATTTTCACCACAGAGGTTTTTTCAAAATCCCCCATTTGGATGAAATTTTTCCGGAGAATCATGAGTGGAAGCATAATTATGTCAAGCATCAGCTCACATAATCGGCTAAGTTTGACTTTTGGTGTGTGTGCGTCTGTTAGACCGGAAATTAGCAACGTCCTCCGCTTCATCCGTGGGCATACAAGGTGATAGGAATAGAACGTGAAGGTACAAGGGAAAAGGCGGTGGGTCAAGTTGTCCTGGAAAAGCATGCCAATTTTTAGGAATTGTATAACTTTACTTACCCATTGCAGAAAACTTCCATGAAATATACAAAGGTGAACCACCTTATGATGACGATCAGGCGTTTATAATATATTTACACTGACCATACGACTTGCCAAGTGGCCTTGCTGTCTTGAAAGGCAAACATGCTCTGCTGCGCATTCTTCTTAGCAAGTACGGCTTCGAGCGAAGTTTTGTTGAAGCAGATCAGTAAATTTCTGTTTCTGATAGGTTCAAGGAAAAGCTCGCGGTGACAGGACGAAATGTCGGCCGCCTTCCTCCTCACTTTGCGCGAGTAGCTTCTCTGGCGGGCCGGTCTACGCTGCTTGGAAGGGGGGGGGGAAGAATGTCAGCAGCTGATCGCGGGCAGTGCCTCTAAGGTGTAATTTCGCAACGACGATCGCAACTAGTTCACAGCTGAATTGCAGTCTTGAAGGTTGTGATCGTAGGGGTCGATCATCGATGAATACTGCCATAATACAAACTCAGACAACACTCAGTGAGAGCGAATCCGGCCAAGCCGGACGATAAGTAGCAGCGAAATTTCACGATTACCAGCATACACCGTTAGCTAGAAAAAGTTCTCAAGACTGAACATCTATTGCCTTACGACCCCAACGCGCAGCATCGAGCGAATGAGATGTTGCACTGTGCTTTCTCTACCACTAGAAAGTGCTAGTGCAATCTCAGAGGAATTTTGCCGCATGCTGAGGGAAATGGTTGGAGAAAATGCAGTGTTACGGTTAGGAGGCAAACAGACACTCGTAAGCGTACAATAGTCGACACGGCGGCAACGGCGGCCTATTCAATTCCAGTCTGTAAGGGATGAGGGTGATATATTTTGAAGCCGAATACGAAGTATGGCGCCGGGAAGAGGGAATCATTTGCTCTTGAAAGAAGTCGGAGCGGGGAGAAGACTTTCTCTAACGGTCCCGCGCTTTTCGGTCGAATTACGGCCGTCTTCATGTTTGGCGGGAGCAGAAATAGCCCACAATTACTCGTTTTTTTTATCTGAGAAATCACTGT